CCTGGGAATCTTACAGACCCCACCCAGTGTTGGCATCTGAAAGTATGATCTTCTTGCCCCAGCTGGCTCCCCTTCACATCCCCTGTCTTAGGGAATGACACCAACCACCCATCTTGGAGAAGAATTATAATATAGATAACAAAAATTTCTATAACGTACAAGGAACTCATAAACTCTGATGAGAAAAAGACGAGCTAGCCAATAGAACAAAAGGCAAAGGATACAAAAGGACAATTCTCAGAAAAGGAGATCCAAATTACCAAAAAACAGAAAAGATGCTTAAATTTCTAGAGGTCAGGAAAATGCAAATTCAGAGAACAATGAGATGTCACTTTGTGCCTGATAATTAAATGTGCAAAAAAAAAAAAAAAAAAAGGAAAAGATCACTGGATGCTCACAGGGTGCAAGGAAAAGGTAACTCAGATGTTACTGATCAGAATGTAAATTGCAAATGCAAGCATTGTGGCAGCGCCTATTAAAAAATCTGGGGCACCTGGGTGGCTCAGTCCGTTAAGTGTCTGCCTCCAGCTCAGGGATCCTGTGATCAAGCCCCACATCAGACTCAGTACTCAGTGGGGAGCCTGCTTCTCCCTCTTCCTGCTACTCCCCCTGCTTGTGCTCTCTCTGTCAAATAAATAAATAAAATCTTTAAAAATTTCTTTTAAATAAAGAATATGTTGCCCTTTAATTTAGCCCCACTCCAGGGACACTGTCCCATAGATACAAAGCCATAAATATGCAAGAACCTGGACACAGGTATGGTTGTGACAGTCACTGTAGTAGAAGAAACTAGGGACCGGCAGTGGTGGACGGCTGATTAATAATGATTCATTCACACCCTGGAATGAAAGTCTTGCCCTACCAGTGGATTTGGTGTGACCTCTATGAGGTACTCTTGCTGGGAAAGGCAAGATGTGAAAAAGTATGCATAAGACCGTTTTTGTTAAATCATGACCAGGCATATAATTTTGTATATATATATATATCTATATATATATATAGATATATATATATATGCATTATGTGTGATGCATCTTTGTCTCTATTTGGTGGTTTGAGCAGGGAGGGGGAAAAAAGGGTATATTCTGAGTTGTTAATGGAAATTACTGGACTGAGGGTGGTTAGAGGGCTTGGGAGATGGGGTAAGGCATCCAAGCCACACACACCCACACAGGTCAGAGAAGACTGTGCTAAATGTCTATATCTCCATTCTGCATCTATATAAAATTATATCTATGTGTCTGTGTATGTTTTGCTTTTAAACACATTTTTTTTAAAGATTTTATTTATTTGACAGACAGAGATCACAAGTAGGCAGAGAGGCAGGCAGAGAGAGAGGAAGGGAAGCAGGTTCCCCACTGAGCAGAGAGCCCGATGCAGGGCTCGATCCCAGGACTCTGGGATCATGACCTGAGCCGAAGGCAGAGGCTTTAACCCACTGAGCCACCCAGGTGCCCCTAAACACATTTTTTAACTAAAGAGTTTGTCTTATTTGTCACCATCCTGCCTAAAACTCTTTGGTAGCATTCTCATCTCAACATACAGGGCAGAATTTTGTCTGAGGCTTTGCAAGGCCTGGGCTCTGCCTGCGCGTGCAGCCCGCCAGCTCCTCTTGTCTCATGGCATTGCCCTCCTGCCTTCTGGACCTGTATCCCTGAACAGGGGCCTGCTCCCCCCAACCCCACTTGGTGGCACTTGCTGCTCCTCATTCTTCACAAGCCGTCTCTAACCCCTCATCGGCTCCCCAAGTGGGTGCTCTTTAGTGACACCCTGTGTTTCTACTTGCTGGCCCTGAGCACAGCTGCAGCGGGACGTTGGTCCAATTATTTGTGGTTTTAAAAAATTAATTAATTAAATAATTTGACAGTGTGCACAAGCAGGGGGAGCAGGGAGCAGGCAGCAGGAGAGGGGGAAGCAGGCACCCAGCTGAGCAAGATGCCTGATGTGAGGCTCGATCCGAGGACCCTGGGATCATGACCTGAGCTGAAGGCAGATGCTTAAACCACTGAGCTACCCAGGCGCCCCTGGTACAATTATTTGGATCAAGTCTGACTTTGCTAACAAAAAGTAAGCTCTGAGAGGCTGGGACTGCATCTGTCATGTTCTGGGGGTGGAGAGTGGGGGTCCGCACATCGTAGAGCTGCCCAGTGGGTACTTGCAGAGCAAATATTTCCAGAATGAGCCTGCTGTGAAGGGGGGGTGCAGCACAAGAGTCGGGAAATCTGCGTTCCGGGCCCTCTGCCGCCCTGAGTCTGCAGAGTGACTGTGAAGCCTGTTCACTCCTCTGTGCGGCCCGGTCGGCACCACTGCTGCGGTGTGCGTGATGGGTGTTACAAAGGGACACGAGGGTGCGGGAATGCACCGCGGGGCAGCGAGGAGGCATTCGGTGACCTTGTCCTTCAGTTTTCTTGGTACCCTGTCACTTCACCTGTGAGATGGGGAGTTGTCTTGTTGGGTTCCCCAAAATTGGATCCCCCAATAATGGGTCCGTGATTAAAGGAGCGAGACTGATACAAAGCGAAGGTCAAGCAAAGCTTTATTTTGTGCCAAGCATCAGGAATCTGACCGACCATCAAACAGACGGGTCGGGGCCGCCCCTTCAGAGAGGACAACCCCTCCCTGTTTTCCAGAGTAACTTTTATAGAGCAAAGGCCATGTGGTTGGGCCTGGCCACACACACAGGTGATTGTAACACACACAAGAAACTCCACAGTGATGCTAGGCGGCCAATTGAATTACAATTTACCCTAGTAGACATTGGAACCAGCCTATCACACCTTGGTTAGGATTGGCACCAAAAGGCTCCCAAAGGGCGGGGGCCATACTCCTTGGTAACTAGGGAGACAGTGTGCGCCCCCACTGATTGAATACCTCCACCTGGCCTGACCTACCCTTGTATTTGGACTTTGTTACCTGGGACCGGTTTCCCAGACTTGCTTTTAAGTAAGTTCCCCTGGGAGGGGGCGGGGGGAGTCAATTTAAGTTTTACAACAAAATGGCAGTTGAACTGGGGTGGGGCCGCTCTGGCTGAATAGGCCCTTACAGTCTGACTAAACGATTTTGAGAATTTCTTCCAGCTCAAAACTGGCTTTTTTGGATCTGGTCTCCCCCTTCCCTTCCCGTGCTTTCTGCCAGCACTGGCTCCATTCCCGACTTGCTCCGTCATCCTGTTCTCAAGCCCAGGAGACATGGCCTCTCCCTGGGAAGATGGCAGCCGAGGGTCATCTCATACCGCTTCTCTTCCCCCACTGCCCTCCCCACTCCTGCATTCATTCACACACAAGACATTTCAGGCCTCCACTAGTGGGTGTGGATAGACCGTCTCTCCTCACATCCTGCCCCTCTCATCCACCCACCCACGTGGTCTTGTCGAGCTACCAGCACCCCAACAAGGCTGCTGGTGAATTCCTGTGGGCAGTCCCCCTTAATTAAGGGAGATGGGTTTTCAAAATCCTCGCAATAGACGAACGGGCCCTATTTACTCCTTATTTGAAATTACTGAACACGGCTGCCTACCATCGGTCTATTTAATAGTCTTGATTTTTTCCCCATGTTCTTTCAATTACCCTGATTGCTACTAGGCAAAAACTTCAAGTTTTAATTTATCGTTAATGTCTTTCCCTTAACAGCTGCTCTTCTCTCTCAACAGGGAAGTCAAGTCCGGAACCAGATGCATCTAAACCCATTCTGGGGTATCGGGAATATCTCAGTCTAGTGGTGGTAGTAAATATTCAATAGCCAGATTGGGGGCGAGTAGGCGGGAGTCTGTTTGAAGCCTTAGCTCCTTTGCTGTGGATACTCCCACGGTGTGGATTTCAGGCTCTCAGCCAGCCTTGGCTGCACGGGGTCGGGCACAGACGCTAACAGTTGACTCGCGAGGAGGGACAATTGAAGACAGCTCACCCATGCTCCCCACGCCACTGAACCCAGTCCACCCAGCCCTGTGCCCTGAGTGGCTCCGCTTGCTTCCCAGTCCTTGTTTCTGATCGCTACTAACTGCCCGTCAGTCAGCCAAGAAGGACACCTGACCAGTCCATTAACGCCCCCTCTCCCTCGTCTGCACCTCCAGTCACTAAACCCTGGTGCTTTCGGTCCCTAGCTGCTCTTGAGTCTGCGCTTTTGTCTGTCCCCTCCCTCCGGACCTTGCTCTGGCCCGCCCAGGAGGCCACCCTCTAGTTGCTCCCGCACGGACCTCGATTCCGGTTGCCCTGCCTGCATGCCTGTTCCCGACCACCACTGTCCACTCTGCAGGCCGTGTCAGCTGGTCTGAATGATGTCACTGGTCTTGCGTAGAAAACCGTCCTGTGGCTTTCGCTTGCCGTTAGGATCCATCCCAAGCCCTGAGCCTGTCTTACCTGACACCCCCAGGCCCCAACTCACAACTGCTGTGGTCTGGCCCTGCCTGCCCCTCCAGCCTCACCCCCAACCTGTGACCTACTTGCTTGCTCCCTCTAGCGATGGGGAGCTGCTTTTGTTTCCTCAAACACACCCAGCTCCTTCTCCACTCGGGGCCTGCTTTTTTTGGCGGGGGCTGGTGGGGGGAGGCTCCGCTTCCTCTATCAGTACAATTACCTCTCCTCCCCTCCTCCCCCTGTGATGCCCAGGAAGTCATGCCTCCTGTGAGCATCAGCATGACTTCCTGGGGAAGGCCCTCCAGGAGGTAGCTCCCTAGGCCTGCCTTGTCTTCCCCGCACAGTGGGGCTTCTGGAGGGCCTGCGCTGCCCGCAGTTCCCAAAGGGGACTTGGTGCTCCATCGAAGCTGAATCTGTTTCTTGCGTGTATGTGGGCCGCAGCGCCCCCATGAGAGAGGAAACTCCCGCCTTCCGTGAGCTGTATTTGCCATCAGCCATTTATCTGCTTAGTGTAAAAAGTAGCTGATGAATCATTTTTACTGCAAAATCTCTCCCCCCCCACCCCCGCAAAGAGCATCTTGGAGGATGGTTTTCTATTTTCAATCAAGTCGTGTTGGTTTTCCTAACCAATTTCTTTTTCCCTCCTAGACTCCATCAGCTGTAATTCCCCGATGTTTGGAACTGTGAACGGGAGCGTAACTTTCCCTGTATCAAGCTCTGTACCCTTTACAGAGATTATGTGGACAAAAAATAGGGATAAAGTCCTTGAATGGGAAGCAGACTCTCACGTCAGAGTTTTCCCACCTTTTAAAGACAGAGTTCATTTAGACACCACATCAGGAAGCCTTACCATCTTCAAGCTAACATCTTCGGATGAGGGGGACTATAAACTGGATTCTTCAAGCACTGGCGACACTTCGTTCACTCTGAAGGTGATTGGTGAGTATTCCATAACTTTATTTCATAAACTGGTTTGTTTCAAATGGCAACTGTCCAACTATTTTAAGAGACGAACACAAATGAATGGTTTCTGAGAAATAAGAGACTTGGATCTCTTAGGCTGTCAGGCACACCAGTGGCCGTCCCCTCATCATCCACTGAGTGAGGAGAGGATGTGACGGAGATGGAGGCCAGCTGGGTGGAGCTGCTGCGAGCAGCATTGCTTGTCTTGCTGGGAATATTCTGGAAAGGGATGTAGTGGCAGCAGTGAACTCAGAACTCTGAGCTCCACTGAGAGATGATGCTCTGGAAATTAGAGTGTGCACCTGCACCGCACCCCAGGAGGTGGATTTTTTTCTCTCCTCTATCACTTTACACGGGAATGTGAGATGGAGTCCTTCTTCCTCCACACTTCCCATTGATGCTTCCCGGTCATTCTCCTTGTCATCTGTAGGCTCCTGGATACATCCCAACATTTCTGGATCATTGGAAAGCCTGAACCAAACAGAAACTTTTGCTGTTTCTGATGTTCCTGCTGTCATAATTCTTAGTGATTATAATATTTAAATATATTGTTCTAATATCCTGGCTTCTGAGTCCCCAGTCTCCTCTCCTGTGAGGGTCTTGTCCTCCATCCACCTCCTCCGCTGCCTTTCCCCACGGATAGAACCTAGAAGTTGTCATTACCACTCATTCTGAGCCCTCCACTGTGTCAGGCCAGGTGTCCCCTGCTCTGCCAATTCTGCTATCCCTTTACCTCGCGTGACCTCCTATCCTCCTTAGGCAGCCCAAATGTGCTCACTCACTGGGCCAAGCATTGGAAGATTTGGTTAGTTTCCTTGCTCCTTTTAATTTTTTTAATTTAATTTTTTTAATTTAATATTTTAAATTATTTTTTTTAATGATTTTACTTATTTATTTGGGAGAGAGAGTAGGGGCAGGAGCAGAGGGAGAGGGAGAAGCAGACTCCCTGCTAAGCAGGGAGCCTGACATGGGGCTCGATCCCAGAACCCCGGGATCATGACTAGAGCCACCCAGGCACCCTTTTTAAATGGGCTGTACTCCTGTGGCCTTTGTGGCCAGGTCCAGTCCAGTGTGCTCCCTGTTTTGTGCTAACACACTGTGGCTGTAGAGAAACTCATTGCCCCACAGAGCCTCACACATGAAGTTTCTGGTCACTTGCCTCAGTCAAATCCAGTATGTCCCCCAGTGTCCTAGCAATTATCCTTCTTCTCCTCAAGCCTCGTAGACCCTCTTCTCCAGACCCACTCCTCAGCTGAAGGCTTTGCGTCTTGTTTTACTGAGGAAGAGAAGCACTTAGAGGAGAATTTCCACAGGCTGTCACCCTCAGCCTTCCTGCCTACCTGCCTTGAGCACCAGTACCCTACTCACAGAGGTCTAGGCCCTCTGCTGTACCCCAAGCCCTCTTCCTGCCACTGCCCTTGGGGACATCGCCCTAGTCATTGCCCTTGCCCTGTTCCTGCAGCAGAGTCCTCCATGGACCCAACTGTCATACGTAGTATGCGGTCAAACATTGACACCAGCACCAGGAGCCCCCGGATGCCCCCTCCCTCACCCCTCCAGCTACCACCCACTTGCCATCTTGAGTTTGTAGAGAATTCCATGAAGGATTATCTGTGTTTGCTTTTTAACCCCTTTTCTTCTTTTTACTTTTCCCCCACCCCGAACAGGCTTTCATCACCCCAGGCTTTCACCCGAACTCTTGACTTCATTAAAAAAACCAGTAATCCTTTTGTGCTCTCCCCACCACATCTTTCTTGGCCGCTCAGCAGCATCCGACAGAGCGGATCCCTGTCTCTTCTGAAACACGACCTTCTGTGGGCATCCAGGATCCCACCCTGTTCTGGCGTTCTGTTCGCTCACTAGCTGTTCCTTCCCAGTTTCCTTGGCTGGTTCGCTCATCTTGCCCACCTGCAGGCCTTGGAGACCTGAAGGCCTGAGCCACCTTTCTCTGCCTGTATTCACACCCAGCTGGGTGAGCTCATCCTGGCTTCGGGATTTAAATATTATTTTGGTACTGATAACACAGATTGAAAGCTCTGACCCGGGGCCCCACTGACATGTGTTTCGAACCGCTTCCTCTGGATTTCCACTTGGATGCCTGTCTGATGATAGTGAGCTCATCAACTTTCCCTTGAATCCTGTTCTTCCCCAAGTCTTCCCCGTGCTTGGTTAATGGCAGCTCCTTCTTCCCAGTTGCTCAGGCTAAGCCTTGATGTCATCTTCGACACCATGTTTCTCTTCCTCTTTCTCTCGAACACCATGTTTATTCCACCAGGAAATTTGCTGGTTTTACAGCCGCTGACCACCTCTCGCCACTTCCTCCGGGGCTGAGCTAGGGCTCCTTCAACCTTGTCCGGAGGACTGCAGCGACTGTCTAACTGGTCACCCAGCTTCTACCATTGCCCCTTAACAGGAGGCATTTTGTGTTATTTTCAGATTTAATTACATTTAATTTTTTTCCAGTTTTATCGAGGCATAATTGACGCATCTCTGTATAAGTTTGAGGTATACAGCATAATGATTTGACTTACATGTATTATGACCACAGTTTATTTTTAAATGCAAGCAGCCAGAGTGATCTGAAAACAGAGGTCAAAGCGTGTCATTCTTCAGCTTAGAACCTTCCAGTGGCCCCATCTCACTCGGAGCTAAAGCTAAGATCTGTAGTGCAAGGCTGTATGAGATCTGGCATCCATGATCACCTCTTTCTGTTCTTGGGCATCCTAGTGTTGCCCTTGACTTTGGCTGCCTTTTCTGTGCTGCCCCTCAGCATTGCCAGCTCAACCTGTACCCATCTTGGCCCTCTGTTGGGTCCCAGGTTCACTGTTTTCTCCTAGAAGAAGGTGTCATTCTAGCCTTACCTCCTCTATGCCAGAGGTGTTCTAGAAAGATCCATCTCGTAGCAAAGTGTGTAAGATGGTTTGCAGGGAAGGGAGAAGAGGCAGAAAGTCCAGTGTAGAACTTCAAGTCTGAGCTCTCCAAGTCCTGTCTGAGGTAGTGTCAGTAGAATAGGAGGGGGTGAGGAGCTGGGGGAGTAGCTATTATTCACAAGTTCACCTGCCTGGTCTGTTGGAGACACTAGGAAGAAGAGAGAATTTCTCTCCTGTTATCATTGTAGCCCTAGAACTCAGGTACTAGGTGTTCAATAAATATTTATTATAGTAATGAAAGCAATTGAACCAGGTGACTGGGAGGTGGGAGGGGGAGTTGACAGAAATGGGGGCTTTCAGGCTGGGTGGCTGGTTTGTCCAGAAGATGATTAACTCCATTTAGAAGAGTGAGGCTTGTTAAGGTGTGGAGGCATCCCATCAGGTGAACCAGTGCATGCCTTTGGAGAAGCAGAATTTATAAAACATGCAGGTTGGGGATCTGGCTGTTTATAGAGCCAGTGACTAAAAAGATTGATTTCGTATTTAGATAACAATGGAAAACGTTTGAAGAGCCCTTTCATAAGAGTTTGTAAAACTGTGTTCAGACTTTTGGATATGTTTAACTTTTTAAACTTGATGAAATGGTTAAAAATAATTTGATTTTTAAAATTCCATGGTCATTCAACTAAGGTGCATGATTTCAGGAGTCAGCCCAACTGAATAGCTCTTAGGAAGTCTCGTTAGCAAAGACCTGCAGAGCCCAAGAGAGGTGAGTGTTGATCAGGAGGCAGTGATGTGGGCAGCATTAAGGGTGGGACCTCAAGTCCTGGCTCGAGAGTCTGGCTTTTAGCCTGTGACACGGAGGAGCCGCTGGATCTGATCCTGGAGCAAAGAAATGACTTGATGAACTCTATTTTCAGATGATTAATCAGATGGTAGGTATTGATGGTGGATTAGAGAGGGGGGACACCAGGTTGGAAGTGACTATGATCTTCTAGGGAGACAGGTGTTGCTGGTAGATGTTGGGAAAGGAAAGAAAGAGAAGATACTTCTAAGAAAGAGTTAAGCGAATTTTGATTTGGGTTATAAAAAGACATAAGATAAAAAAAAAAAAGACATAAGATGACTCAGGATTTCACACCTGAATGACTAAACGATTGGTCATACTTTTTTTTTTTTTTTTCTTTGAAATGAGGAAGGCCTACTTCCTTCAGGGTGTGTTAATACCTAAGTGACTTGGTGATCTTCCGGAGACACCAGACCTAAAGGGAGATTTTCAGAAAGGCTATTTTAGGCAGGGGGATTTCCTGGCACCCCCTCAATTCAGGCCATCCACTTCCTTGTGTGTAAGTTTGTATTTGGCTTCCTTCTTCCCTCAAAATCCCCTTCAAATTTCCACCACCAGTGTTTATTAGTGCTTTCTCTCATTAGCTGCATTAAAGGTGGTGATGTTCATGTAAGTAGAATTAACTACTCAATCCTTAAACGATCTGAAGTGGTATGACTTTTTACTAAAGTTAAGAGAAATACACAAATATCATCAGATCTGTAGAAGCGGTTCTCCATCTTACAGAGCAGTGCACTGGATTCATGCATTGTAAATGGACTGAGTTGTCTTAAGGATGAAGTGGGTATGTTTCCTGTCAGTTTCATGCTGCTTGAGGTCCAGATGTAACTCATACTTGTTCGCTGTGGCCTTGGGAAGTCTGGTGGGCAGTGAGAGAAGCTGAGGATTCTCAGCAGAGATCTGAGCTGTGGGAGACCTGAGGAAGGTTTGCATCCTTTCCCATGAGCGGGACGGGCTCTTCCAGCGGCCATGCTGTGGTGAGACCACCAGAAAGAGCTTTTGGATGGTTCCATGCGCTCTAACAACACACAAAATTACATCAGCTCTCCCATGTGGGCCCTTTCAAATTCTCTTCATACTCCAGTAGACCTTTCCAATCTTTCAGAGTATTACATTCCATTTCACAGGTGAAAATGAGACTGATTTAGCCATGGGCTTCCTTCTCCATCTGTAGAACAAGGGGCCTGGGCTGGTTGGTTTCTTGAACATGTTCCCGCTACCACAAAACCCATGGGCCAAGGTCACACAGCCAGCCAGAGCGGAAGCGCACACCTCCCAGCTTCTGGTTGTGTAATGCACGCCCGTGGAGGGGGTGCTCACCTTCCCGCCATGCGCTCTGTTACAGCTGATGTGACCGTGCCAGGCAGTGCGTGTTAGTTCCCATGTCAGCTATTACCATGTCACCTCTTGTGATCCTCATCCCCATCGTGAAGGGGAGGTGCTGTTGGTTTCCCTGTTGTGCAGGAGAGGAGACCTAGCCACAGGGATTCAGTACCTTGGCTGAGGGCACGTGGCTCTTCCTGGCAATGCTGCGGTCTGAACCCAGGCAGTCAGGCTCTTAACCACTTCACCCTTACTTTTCGGAGGGGAGCCGATGAAGTTTACCTTTTATACAGTGGAGAGAATCCCTCCCTCTGTCCAGTGTCTGCTCTCCTCACTGAGGAGCCACCTGTGAGCCTTGTGTTGGGTCAGGCGCCGTGGGTAGGAGCTGAGGCATGTTGAGTCCTTACCTTCCACAGATGTACAGCTGAAGGGGGCTTGTGAGGCGCCACTGTTGAGTTCAGAAAGTGTTGAACGAACCCCTAGACGCTGGCTGAATCAGATCACTACACTAGAATCTGGGACAGAACGCTCAGAGCACCCACATCAGCATCCTTGGCTGGGGGCGGGGCAGGAATCTGTATTTTAACATACACCCCTGGTGACTTCTCGTGCCCACTGAGAGTTGAGAAATGCTTCTGTGGAACATTTCCAGGGAACTAGAAAGCTCAGTTTCAGGCCCAGCTTAGTTGCAGAGGGAGGCATAGGTATGTGTAGAGTGTAGAACCATCATTTCTGGTTCTCAAGTGCACGGAGACACTTGGGGCCTCAGGAAGGTGCTTCCTGGGCTGCTGTGGGCATGTGGTAGGCAGGAAGGACTGGAGGAGGCTTAGAGAGGAGGGCTCCGGGCTGGCTAACTTGGAGTCAATGACAGCAGTTCTTATTCTTTTAAAAGCTATTGGTCTGTGGCTTACAATTTAATCTGGAGAAAGGAGTCCATTGCTTGCTTTCAGGCAACACATAACAAGTTATGTAAACTAGATTAAATCGAACAGCTGAAGAAGTCCCAAGCAGAAGGGGAAGTCGTGGGTGACTCAGGTCTCTAACCGGGTGTGTTACTTAACTGAGTATGAAAGAAGTCTGGAGAAGATGGGGGGAAAGAGGAATTGAATATTTTCCGTTTTTAGATTTTTTTTAAAAAGATTTTATTTATTTATTTGACAGAGAAAGCATAGGCAGGCAGAGCAGCAGGCTGAGGGAGAGGGAGAAGCAGGATCCCCGCTGAGCAGAGAGCCAGATGTGGGCTTCCATCCCAGGACCCTGAGATCATGACCTGAGCCGAAGGCAGATGCTTAACAACTGAGCTATCCAGGTGCCCCCGTTTTTAGATTATTTTAGATGAATAATTAGATTGTAAGCATTCCTTTGCCTTAGAAAATATCGTTTTAAATAGCAGCATGGTATTCTGTCATCTCGATGAATGCTACTTTGCTCTAATTTGCTTTTTCATAGATGTTCATAAAGCATTGAAATTTTATTATCCAAATGCTACCATGACCATTTTCTGGAGAGTCCGTATATTTGTACATGTTTTCTCCAATTTCTTTTTTTTTTTTTTAATTTTATTTATTTATTTGACAGACAGAGATCATAAGTAGGCAGAGAGGCAGGCAGAGAGAGAGGAAGGGAAGAGCCCTATGTGGGACTCGATCCCAGGACCCTGGGATCATGACCTGAGCTGAAGGCAGCGGTTCAACCCACTGAGCCACCCAGGCGCCCTGTTTTCTCCAATTTCTTATGGTGAGTTGTTGGGACAAGGTAGAGATGCAAGAAGGCCTATGAATGAACAAATACACGGACGTCTGATGGGATAAGCTGGCGTTATGGTTCTTAACCCATCCTTTCAGGTTTGGGCTGCTGTAGCCAGTAGGGGGCACCTGCTAGAGAAAGACTGGGCCTGAGGCCTCCAGACTGACAGGTCTGTGGCAGGTGCCATCCCCTACTCTGCCTATTAACAGGACCCGCTCACGGCACAGCTCCACGCATGCTTTGCAAACACTGTAAGTTAGATATCTTTTGGAATTAAACATTTTTAGATTGTAGAATAATACAAATTATTTCCTCTCTATATGTTAGGAAGCACCCCACTTAGTTTTGGGGACCACCTTGTACTCAAATACAAGAACATTTTTAGAACAACAGGGTAGTGAATATTTGAAGTAAGTGAGAAAAATATGGAGCACCTGGCTGGCTCAGTTGGAAAAGCATGCAACTCTTGATCTCAGGGTCACGAGTTCAAGCCCCACATTGGGTGTAGAGCTTACTTAAAAAAAAATAAACAAATAGGGGCACCTGGGTGGCTCAGTCAGTTGAATGTCTGCCTTCTGCTCAGGTCATGGTTCCAGGGCCCTAGGATCGAGCCCCTGCATCGGGCTCCCTGCTCGACAGAGAGCCTGCTTCTCCCTCCCCCTCTGCCTGCTGCTCTGTCTACTTGTGCTCTTTCCCTAGCTCTCTGTCAAATAAGGAAATAAAATCTTTACATAAATAAATAAATAAAAATAAAAAGGAAGTAAGTGAAAAAAAAAAAACTGTTAAATCCTCATGTCAGCTCAGATGAGGATTTGCAGCTACCTGACTTTGCTGCTATTCTGTGGAAACTTGTGGCTTCCTGCATGGAGGATAAGGGATTTAGTGCCTGCGTATATTCTGAATTTGAGCAGGAAGATCTGACCCAGAAGAAGAGGGAATTCTGTCCCCTGGGTGCTCAAGGAGGGGGGCCTGTTTGTCTTTTCTAGCTCATCAGGAAGCTGGGAGCTCTTCATCCCTTCGTAGACGATGAGCCTAAATGTTCCTCTTTCCTATACTAAATATTACATTTCTTTTCTCCAGGTCCTCTTCCGTCTCCAACACTAAATTGCACCTCGGTTGCTGAATACATTACAATCAATTGCAGGATCCCAGAATCTTACAATTTCACACAATATTTAAACTATTCATGGAACTGCTTTCCGGCACTGTGTAAAAATGGCTCCAATATGTCTGAAGTGTTGATTAAGAGGAACAATGATCTCTCGCAGGAAATACGCTGTACTGTTCACAGTCCGTTGTCCAAACAGACATCCTTGCTTGTCTTAGCAACCTGTGTCCCAGATGGTGAGTAAACAACACAGTGTGTCATGGCAGACATACTCTGCGGGGGCGGGGGGGTTTGGGGAGGGGGGATGCATCCAGGGACCCCAGGTGGCTCGGGAGTTTCAAACCAGAGATGCTCACCTGCGTTTCATGTCTGAAATGTAAGATGAGGACCCTGCATTATAGACGTGCAGCTGCCATTTCTCAACCTCTGCTGGGCCAAGCACTGTTCTGATCAGTTCATGAAGTCAGTCCTCCCCCAGCTGCAGGAGTTGGGTATCAGCCATTATCTTTATTTTATGGGGAGAAACGTGGACACGGGGAGTTCAGCGTGGTTGCCTCAGATCACAGATAGTGAGGGGCAGAGCCTTGTTTTGAAGTCAGACCATCTGAAGTTCCAGAGCTCCTCAGGAACTGTTCACGGCAGTACTCGGTAATGTTCTTGATAACCATCGTGTTCTTGAAGGCTGCCTGTGTGCCGCAAGAATGTGCACTTGGTACCTTGTCTCAGCTGCTCCCTGGATGGGATGACAATCTGTTTTGGCTGTGGCCCTTTTATTTTGTTCAATTCTCATGTTCCTTTGTAATTTGCCATTTTTATTAGCGGGGTTTTTTTTTTTTTACATTATATTCCCGGTTTACAGACAAAAGGATCAGTAATTTGAAAGTGGGTCATTAGAACATAGAAAAAGAGGTGAAAATAGTGAACACTATGATGCAGAGCAATATCATCATTGTAAATAGTGAACAGGACCCTGTGAGTTCCCTTGGGCAGTGATGGGGTGATTCTGTGAATCAATTTTTTCTGAACAGGCAACTGAAGCAGAAAAAGGCAGTTAGTCAATGTCATGAATATAAAAAACCCTTGAATTATATTTGATTAGTGAGCCCTTCTCCCTGAGTTGCCAATGTACTGTCCTTCTTGAAAATTTTCTTTCCTCTCTCCTCTCTCCTCTTTGGTCTCTCTCCTTTCCTCTCTTCTCTCCCTTTTCTCTCTCCTCTCACCTCTGTCTCCTCTTTCCTCTCCCCTTCTCTCCTCTTTCCTCTCGCTTCTCTCCTCTCTCCCCTCTCTCCTGTTTCCTCTTTTTCCTCTCTCCTCTCTCTCCTTTCCTCTCTTTCCTCTCCTCTCTCATTCATCTCTCCTCTCTCCTTTTTCCTCTTTCCTCTCTCCTCTTTTTCCTCTCTCCTCTCTCCCTTCTCTCTACTCTTTCCTCTCTCCTCTCTTTCCTCTCTTCTCTCCTTCCTCTTTCCTCTCTGCTCTCTTCCATCTCTCCTCTCTCCTTTTCTTAGTAGGTTCCATACCCGGGGTGGAGCCCAACATGGGGCTTGAACTCTGAGGTCAAGACCTAAGCTGCGATCAAAAGTCAGACACTTAACCAACTGAGCCACCCAGGCACCCCGAAAATTTTCAAATAATGACATGGAGGCATTAAGTTCATTATATCATTTTCAGACTAAGCAGTGTGACTTCCTGGGTAAAGCAAACAAATACTTCCAGATGAAGTGCAAAATGAGTTCCAGTTCTTAACCTATGGTTTTGATCCCCAAAGGCAGAGAAAAGACCAGACCCACAGAGGTACCACTCAGGACGGCACCTTTTGTGCAAGTCACACAATTGTCCAGAAGATTTGAAAGCCAGCTGCAAAGTCCACCACAATTGTTCTGCTTGGAGCAAACGTGTCTTTAGTAATTCCACTTACCGGGTGTTACATAATATCCAAGGTGTGGAAATGCGATTTGATGCTAGCAGATAGTTGCCTTATTGTGGGAACAAAAACCAAAAGCAGTGTGCTTTTTTTGGCTTAGGTGTGTGTGTGTGTGTGTGTGTGTGTGTGTGTGTGTGTGTATGAGAGAGAGAGAGAGAGAGATGCCCATAACCAACAAAAGAAAGAAGGTATTGCGTGCAGAATAAACCAGATGGTTGAAATCTTGAAAAGCTTCTTGTGCCCCAAGCATTTTGCCCTTGCATAGGTTTTCACTTAACCTTTACCATTGGAATTGAATGTCCAAGTAAGATGCCCTTTCCTGTGGGTACCTTGAGAAAAGATCGTCATGATCTCATCCCTCTCCTTGATGATAGAGGTTGTTAATTTGCAAATAGACTCTCTTGGTTATGCAATAGTGGTGATTCATCTTTCTTTTACATCACCCTCCAAACTAATAGTTCACATTGCATTATAGACTTTGTAAGTTTGAGAAACAGTGCTAAGTAATTCTTAGGTCATTTAAATCCTGGAGTAGTGCTGAGGCACCTGGGTGGCTCAGTGGGCTAAGGGTCTACCTTCATCTCAGGTCATGATTCCAAGAGTCCTGGGATTGAGTCCCACATCAGGCTCCCTGCTCAGCAAGGAATGTGCTTCTCCCTCTCTCTCTGCCTGCCCCTCTGCCTACTTGGGCTCTCTCTCTGTCAAGTAAATAAATAAAATCTTTTTTTTTTAAGATTTTATTTATTTATTTGACAGAGCTCACAAGTAGGCAGAGGGGCAGACAGAGAGAGAGAGGAGGAAGCAGGCTCCCTGCTGAGCAGAGAGCCCGTTGTTGGGCTTGATCCCAGGACCCTGGGATGATGACCTGAGCCGAAGGCAGAGGCTTTAACCCACTGAACCACCCAGGCGCCCCTAAATAAATAAAATCTTTAAAAATAAATAAATCCTAGAGTAGTCCTGACATAGGAGACATATACCTGGGGACCCACTAAGCAAGTGTTGGAGGACGTTTTTCTTCCCTGCATCTGGGGCCCAAATCTAATGATCGTAATGGTTCTTCTTGACAATAAATGTCTAGGATCTCTTTTCTTCCCAGTATGATTTTTGAATACTTTCTATACAGTTGCATGCATCATAACAGATAAATTTGTGTGGGTATAGTGGTTAAAATCTAGGTGTTACTTTTTTAAGTGCTGATTTTTTTTTTTTAAATCTAGACTTTTTCTATTTTATCAGTGAAACATTGTAACTCATGTGGACCAGCCTGCTGCCCTCTGGCAGGCCCTCCCCAATAATCATTTTGTTGGCTGCCCACTATCACCATTCCAGACTGCCCCACAGGAGTCACTTACCTTATAAGAAGTTGTTTACCTTTTAAGAGTGAGGAAACAAGTTCTACCAGCTGGGGCGGCTTCCCCAAGTTTACTTATGTAGTGGAGATAGAATTAGAATTTAAGTCTTTGAACCCTGGAGCCTTTTTTTTTCCATTACATCATCCTGATTCTGTATGTCTTAAAATAAGTCAAATTAAGAAATAAATTTTGACTCACGCACAGGACTTGGCTGCCAGAAAACCGTACCATTGGAATGATAGTATGGACTATGGGGGTGTTCTGTAGGACCAGGGATCAGGTTTTTTAATAAATAAATTATAAGGGGAAGAAAGAGAGAGGCTAGGGGGAGCTTAAAAAGTCAAGAGATTTAAGAAGCCTATAATTAATTGCAATGTATGGACCTTGTTTGATCCTGATTCAAACAGAAAAAAAGTGAAAAAATAAGAGGGATTTAAGTGGTGACCGCATATTTGATTGTATCAAGGCCTTAGTTTTTTTTTTAGCTATGATAACGGCATGGTTATGCTTTATAGATAATCCTTATCTTTTGGAAACATATACCAAAATGGGTATGACTTAAAAATTGTGCTCTCTGGAGTCAAACAGGGGCTCACTTCTCTACTTACCTTGAAGCAAGTGGGAAGGGAGAGGAGAGAGCACAGTCCTTCCCTTTAAAGAACTGCCCAGTGTGGCGTGCATCACTTCCAGGGCCAGCAGCTTGGCCAGACTGAGTTCATGGCCATGGCCCCTGGGGGAGAGTGGGAAGTGTCCTCCTTACTAGCTGGCTGGCCGGGCATGCACCGACTTAAAACACAGGGGTTCTATTCCCAAAGGAAAATGGGGAGTTGGGTATGGGGACCAATAGATGAACATAACTTGTACCGTTTTATTTTATTTTTAAAGATGTATTTATTTATTTTAGAGAGAGAGAACATGTGTGAGTTGGGGGAGGGGCAAAAGGCGAAGGAGAGAGAACATCTCAAGCAGACTTTGCTCTGAGTGCAGAGCCTGATGCGGGGCTCGATTTCACGACCCATGAGATGATGGCCTGAGCCAAAACCAAGAGTTGGATGCGTAATCGACTGAGCCACCCAGGTGCCGTAACTTGTATCATTTTAAAACATAAACGAAATCAGAAAAACGTGAAGATTGATAAAAGTAGCAAATGTAAATAGAGGGTCTCGCTTTTTTGCACCTCGCTGATCATTTCGTGTACTCCCTCGGGTATATGCACCCAATTTAGAAACTCTGGGTCTCAGCCAGAGGTTATGGTGTCTCAGAAGGCTGTGATGGCAGCAGATTGGGAGCAGTGGTTCAGGTTGGGGTACGTGTTGGAAATACAGCCACAAGGAATTCCTCATGGTTTGAGTAGGGGAGAAGGGTCCCAAATAAGAAATGTGCAAATGACCCCCAGATTTCTGGCTCAAGCCATTGGATGAACAGTGGCATCATTTACTGAGACTGGAAAGCAGGGCAGCAGGTGTGTGGAGGACGTGAGAAGTTTGGTTTGGGACATGTTCGAAATGCCTGTTAGATTTCAAGTGGAGACCTCAGGTAAGGCGTTTTGAATTGAGTCTAGGTCTCTGGGGAGTCATTAGCATGGGAGAAGTAAGTGTGGGCAGAATCAACGTATAGTCAGCATTTAAAGCTGTGGGACTAGGTGAGCAGATAGGACAAAGCAGTGGACTGGGACTGAGTCTCAGGGACTCCAGCATTTAGAGGCTGTTGAGAGGAGAAGGGTCCCACGGAGGGGACAGAGAAGGATCTCCCTGGAGGCAGGAAGAGAACTCCAGCAAGGTGGCATCTCAGTCAGGAGCCACGTGAAGAGGGGGGAGCACCTGTCCGTGTAGCAGACACCGAGGAAGAACAGACTGAAGAACTTGCGTTACTGTTTTGTCATCTCCCCTGAATATCTGCTGTCCCAGAGGGGGGGTGGCAAATGGCATCATCCCTGGGAGAAAGGTTTTTGGAAGGGACTGGATCAAGTACGATTAGACTCAGCTGTTTAAAAAGAATACTTTTTTAAAAATATTGGTGGCTTGAAAATGAAGATGGCTTTTTTCACATTAGAATCTATCTCTATCTATCTATCTATCTATCTACGAGGTGTGTGTGTATGTGTGTGTGTGTGTGTGTATGTGTATACATACACACATACATACATATCCAAAGTAGGCAGTCCTGGATGTATTGCTGCTCGGTGAAGTTGTCAGAGACCCAGCAGCAGCCTGGCTCCTCCTGCCTTGCCCACTGGTTCAGGCAGGAGGATCCAGAAAGGGGAGACCTTGGAGAAATCTACACAACCCTCCCTACAGCTCAGTGCCCAACACTTAGTCACGTGGTCAAACCCAGTTGCAAGAAAGGCTGAGGAACTAATCTGTGAGTGGAATGATAGCATGCCCAGCCAAAAATCTGAATTCTGTCACCAAAGAGGAGGGTAAGGATAGGGGGCATTACAGGGAGGTAACTAGCAGTTTCTGGTTGGGGGGCCTCTCAGATCAAACAGGTGGGTGACTTTCTGTTTGTTCTAACCCACCTGTGTTCTGAATAAGAGGAAACGGTGTGTATTCACATTCTCATTCTCATTTATTCATTCACTTTCTCTCTCCCCTCCCCGCCACCCTCCCCAGCCTCTCCCTTCTCTCTTAACCCTCAGTGGTTGCTGTTAGTGACCCCAGCCTTCCCTTAGCAGTGCTCTGGGATCATTTTGCCATATGCTTAGGTCTTCTGCCTTTGGATTTTTAGCAGCTGGATGGAGTCCACATTGTAAATATGTCCTGCTTTTCTGCTGAGGACACGTAGGTTGTTTTAGCTTTTTTTTTTTTTTTTTTTAAGATTATTTATTTGACAGAGAGAGACCACAAGTAGGCAGAGAGGCAGGCAGAGAGAGAGGAGGAAGCAGGCTCCCTGCTGAGCAGAGAGCCCGATGGGACTCTGGGATCCCAGACCCTGGGGTCATGACCTGAGCCGAAGGCAGAGGCTTAACCCATTGAGCCACCCAGGTGCCCTGTGTTAGCTTTTTGATATTGTCAGGAAAGCTGTGGTAAACATCTTTGTGCCTTTTCTGGAGGGAGGGGAAGAGCACATCACTGATCGTTTCTGTAGAAATGGACTTGCAGGGTCAAAGGATGTCAGTAGTGATACCAAGAGCATCTCCTCAGTAGGTTGATGGTGATAGGTTATAGCTGTTCTCAAGGATCTTAACTCAACTGATGCTCACAGCTGCCCTCTGAGATAGGTGTACGTATCACTCCCCTTTAGTCAGCCCTGGAGGAATCTGAGGCAGCAAGAGGTTTGCATCACGCTCCGACTCTTATAATGGTTCGGTGAGACTGTGGGCACACCGTGTAGCTGCTTTACGATGGACGTTTTTACGGAGCCCTTGTTACGCACTGCCACCACAGTGCCCTACCAGACACGTGTTGCTAAGTTAAGCTTCCACAGACAGTGTGGGCTAGCTGGAAACAACACTTCTAGTGGAGTGTTTGCATCTTTTAATAAATAGCACTGGGCTTGCTATGTATCAACCGTATACGGGTAAGTTTATTTATAAATACTGTTGGTTCTCTTGATCTGCGGTAGTCAGTCGTGTGTCATAAAGTCACCGTGAATATGGAATTAGTGAATACTGAATGTTGCTTCTGGGAAATGCAGGGTTAGGTTCCTGCAAGCTTCTGGTCAACATTTTTGGCAAGAAATCAGTAAACAACCTTTTTTTTTTTTTTTAAGACTTTATTTATTTACTTGACAGAGAGAGATCACAAGTAGGCAGAGAGGCAGGCAGAGAGAGAGAGAGGGAGAAGCAGGCTCCCCAACCAGAGCAGAGAGCCCGATGTGGGGCTCAATCCCAGGACCCTGGGATCATGACCTGAGCTAAAGGCAGAGGCCTAACCCACTGAGCCACCCAGGTGCCCCAACAACCTTGTTTTGTGTGCCTTTCTATTTAAAGACACCTTATTATAGATGTGTTGTTGATTCATGAACATTGGACTCTCGGCCAACAGTGCCATGACTTAATGCCTAGATGAAGCATATCTAACAAAAACATATATTTTCTCTGAAAGGCATATCCCAGCCTTCTTCCGCTTAGGAACGCTACACAGCACTTTGGCACTGTGTTCAGGGCTATTTTAGACAATTAGCCAACAAAAAGCATGAAAGTATGAAAAATGTGGCAGTACACAGACCAGGAATAGGGCACTTACTTACCTTAGAGGAGAGGACTCAAGAAGGCGGAGTATTGCCTTGTTCAGCCTCAGTGGGGACATGTTCACCTAGCAGTCGGGTTTTTTGCCGTTCTGCTGCATGTGTCCTCCAGGGACCATGAACATGCCGCGGCATGGACGTGGGGAGGACACATGCATCTTAGCAAGGAGGCAGATCGCAGATATGGAATCTGCAAATAAGAAGACTCCCCTGGACTCTGTTTTGATCAGTCCAGATAATTGTATTTACTTCTTTCTCACCAGCTTCCTTTTTTTTTTTTTTTTTTACAGAGCATTCAAGGAACAGGTTTACAATTATACCAGCAGTAGTCCTAGTAGCCCTAGTAGCAGGAGTAACTTTTTTGCTGTTTAAAAGAGGTATGTATACTTTCTTTCAAAAAAATCCGTTTCAAACTCGAATTGGTTTTCCAAAGGCCAGAAAATTAATAGTTTAGAGACTAAAGCGAAGTTTGAAATTTTAGGCGTTTGGAAAGAAACCAAGGCTTCTGTTTCTTCCTGTGTTCCTCATCATCCAAAGTTGCTGGGTCCGCCAGGTTTGCCAAGATTTTACATGGTCTTGGGGGGAAGGAATCCTCAGGCCATTAGGAGGCTTTACAGATGTGGGAACCCCGCTGGACATTCCTCAGCTTCCTTCTGCTTGTGGTCTGTGTCAACATGTATTATATCTCTGGTCTCCAAGCTAGATTTTGCACAAGACCCCTTACTCTTGGCTGCCAGGGCTTTACTTTCCATTCTTCTAGCCCAGAAGGGAGTCCCGGGGAGGAGGAAGCTGTTGTTGGGGTTTGGTGACTTGGAGTGGGTCCTAAAGGCCTGGTATTACTTGCATTGCCTTCCTGAGCCATTCTCGGTCCCCTAGACATGTGGGCCAGCCCTGAAGGCAGCCCATGTGCCCTGGAGAATGGGTGGGCTGTTCCCCCATCCTGTTCTTCTCCACATCTGCTTTCTCAAAAGGGCTCTTGGCAAGGCTGATTTGTTACTCCCACAGGGAATGCAGAAGAGTCACCTTTCAGCCATGTGATGGCATGTGGGACCCACGTCATTTCACATGCATGTCTTGGACCAACTTAGATTTTATGTCCCCCTAGACCTGCGCTGCTCAGTACCATAGGCACTGGCCATGTGGAGTGGTCTAAATATAAAAGCAATTCATTAAATTTAATTTAAAAATTCTTTCCTCATTTGAACTGTCTACATGTAAAGTGCTCTGCCACACAGAGCTAGCGGCTACCATGATGGGATGGACCAGATAGAGAAGAATTCCATCATCGCAGAAAGTTCTGTCCGCCAATGCTGTCCGAGACTACTGTTGGTACATGGCCACTAACATGTCATATCCCAGGGATACTGTTTTCATATATAGGTTGCAAATACCACGAGGATCCCTAGGTAGTAGATTATGAGTCAGTCGACTCTCCTCTAAATAAGTTATAAAAATTAGCTGAAGAAAGTTTTGAGGCTTCATTACCAATGAGTAAAATATTTAGGGAGCTCAAATGTTCTTGTAAAGAATTATTTTTAATCCCCAAATAACAGTATCATTGTTCATCATCTCCATAACAGATGAGTCCCCAGAAACCAAAATCATTATCCACTCAGAGTTCTTGTGGGTCTATCATCAGAATACCTGAACAAAAAAAAAAAAAAAGGTGTACTCAGTGCCCATATAATTCCAAAGCAGTCAGGTGATTTAACTTTTTTAAAAAGTTCATTCAGTGGAGAGGAAATTAATTATTCCCATGGTCAGTACCCGTAGCACCTTATAACCGGAAAAAAAATTATCTTGAAAAATATCCTTACTTCAGTTGGCTTCACCACCCTAAAGCCATAACTTGGGAAAGGCTGAGGCATTTGGCATGGAGCCTTCTGAGGGGGATGGCGGTGAGTTGTAGTTGACAGACACCGGGACGAGTTCAGTCAGGCTTGTGGACTAGGCAGCTGGACCACCAGCCTGGCTCCAGACGAGGGCTGATGCCTTTTATGGGAGGACACTGATGTGTACATGTATGGAAGCCACATCTTAACATCCAAAATGGCGCTGTCCAAAATGGTAAGCCATGAGCCAGTCGTTGAACCCTGGAAACATGGGAGTCCAAAAACACATACCGTAAATGTAAAATGCTCACCGACTTTATAAGACGTAGTATTTGGAAAGGGCTGCAGAATATCTCATTAGTAACGTTTATTTTGATTACACGTTAAAATGATAATATTCATGACATGTTTTGAAAATTATAGTGTCAAAATTAAATTTAATTTCAAAATTAGAACATTTTGAACATGAATTTCACCCGGTTCTTTTTACTTTGTAACACGACTGCTAAAACTGTTAAATTGACCCGGGTGGCTCTCATATTCCTGGGCAGTGCTGACCCATGCCATCCGAGCCTGCCCTATGTCTTTAGCTTTGTGCATGGGCTGCCATAGAAATATCCATTTTTGTTAGCGGTGTTTGCATTTCTTTTCCTATCATGTGAGGAGCCGTCTTGGAACATGTCCCTGGACCCCCTCTGCAGTTAGTTTGGCTTCAGCATTTGGAAGGGCGGGAAGACCAGCTCGACAGGGCTGTGGTTTAGAGTGCTTCAGAATCAGGTCTCCATCAGGCACACAGGAACTGCAGCGTTCCGCTTTGCTTTTCAGTCCTTTAACTGAGTTGAAAATTTCTTCATTTGTAGGTTTTCCGCAACGTGGCAGAGAAACAGAGAGAACCGAGTAAGTACCCTATAGACTGTGCGGTGGGTAAATTAGGTTTCATGCAGCAGAGCCGGAACAGGCCTGATGAGGGCCACCTCTTCCTTGGGGACCAGGTGTATCTATCACTTGTCTTGAATGGTAGTAAGTGACATCTGCACTGGGCTCAGCAGTTTCTGGGTGTCACCTCCTCCCGCCCTCGCAGTGGGCCTTGCACGGGGGTATCGTGACCACTTGCTCAGAGACAGTGACTATGAGAAGTCAGGGCCCATTGCTAAGACATCGTCGAGCTGGGTCAAATCAGGGTCTTCAGACTCGGAGGGTTATACTGTTAGCCTCCTTCTCCTGTCCCCGGAGAACTGGACCAAGGATTGGGTTCACTTTGGGAGCTAGGATCAGAGCTGGACCTGTATCACAAGCCAAAGCTAGGATCCACACAGTCAACAGCAGCAACGTGGCTAAACTCCCCTATGGAGGCTCCAGAAGGACCCCGGTCCCCCACCAGGTCCTTGGCAGTCGGGAGGCAGGAGCCCAGGAGCTGGGCTTTAGGGGGTGTTGGGAAGAATAAAGGGGCTCAGGGCTGTGAGGCAGGATAGGGAGTGACGAGTCATCCTCTTTGGGACAGCAAATGTCGGTGAGAAGAGGGAGCTAGGGCTGGACTGGCAGGCTGCCAAGCCAAGATACCGAGAGAGAGTTGCCAAGAGGTCTGTGTCGTTTTTTTCTGGGAAACCACTGAGGGTTTCTGAGCAGAGCTATGTGTCAGACAGAGCGTAGGGGGCGTTAGTAGACAAGAGGCTGGAGATGGGGACACTGCTGCTGGACAAATGGAAGAGTGTAGCCAAGCAGAGAAAGCCTGAGTCATGGTCGCCCTGGCAGGGCTGCCATGGGGGGCTGGGTGCGGGAGGAGGTGTGGCAGTCATAGTGACGAACATTCCAGCTAAGCAGGCAGGCTGCCCAGGCCGGGGGTGCGAGTTCCCTGCCAGCTCATCTATCCTGGGCCTTGGACAAGTCACTTCAACCCTCTGTGCCTCAGTTGTCTTCTGTGGAAGAAGGGCGTAACGAGAGTAGAGGAATAGTAGTGTGGGTGATAACATAGAAATAGCAGCATGCACAAACATGTTAATAAAAATACAATGCTTAGAAGAGTGACTGACTTGGAGGGGAGCTTAATCAATGTTACCATGCTAGGATGGTTGTGAATATTATTATTATCCAGGAAAGAAGCCAGAAGTGGCAGGGATTCCGACGCTTGGTGCCCAGGCAGGGCTCTGGGTTGGGAAGCCGGGTCTGTGCTGTGAAACGCTGAGTGTGGGGTTCTGGCGCATTACACGGGTCCCGAGGTCTGGTGCACAGTTGCTGAAGTGGCTTCTGGGGCTGCGGCTGGAGCTCCAGCCTGGGGTGCCCTGAGCATCTGAGGTCACCAAGAAAGCCAAGTCCTTGGGTGACAGGCTGAGTGGAGGGGCTAGGCCGAGTCACGGGGGAGAGCCAGATTGGCCCCTGCTAGAGACCCTCAGGGCGGCGGCTGCATATTAAGGGTGAGGAGAGGCTCGGGGAGGGTGGGTGGGCAAGACCTTGGCTTTATTGAGTGAGTGGCTGATTTTCAAGAACGCCCCGGGGTCAGCGGTAGGAGTGGGGAATGAGGAAGGGCCGCTGTGCAGCAGGGAGCACCTGCCTGCCGCGGGGCCCATGGGCTCAGAAGGTCCCTTTCCCCCAGCTGCCGGGTTGGACACACCCAGGTTACCAGGGAGGCCGGCTGGGCAGGAGGCCTGGGGCAGCTCTGGGAGCCTCCCAGCAAGGCTGTGAGGGGTTGATGGGCCAGGAGGCCATGCGGAGGGGGCTGGAGAGAGGATGAGCAGTGGTCGGTGAGGTGAGGAACAGGTGTGCCAGCAGGGAAGGGGGGAGAGAGAGCACAAGGGCTGTGGTCAGAGGTGGGGATTACCAGTTGGCGGCAGTGAGCATGACTGCGGGGAGGGCGAGATTCTGGGCCGGCCTCTGCTGAGACCCTGCTGGTGACAGCGGACGGGCAGCCATCGGAACAGGACTGCCGCCGTCGTTCAGGGGAGGCCGTGAGCCAGGGCCGTTGGGAGAGGTGATGGAGTATCCCAGAACTCGTGCCCTTGCTGGCTGCTCTCTCCCTTCAGCACACTTTCACGGAGGTCCCTCTGTGCCAGCAAGGTGAGGCTCTGTGTTCGCTGACGGCTTGAGATCATCTGCCCAAGGAGGCCTCCACTGTGTGGGGTTCAGAGAAGGGGTATGCTAGGGCTCCCCCCTCGAGCAGCTTGTGGGCACACAGGAGAGAGTGGATGAGTACATAAACAGATGGGCTGAGGCCCGGGCAATGGGCCAGCATGTATGGTAGGGATGGTCTGGGCTGGGCAGCCACCCGAGGGGAGGTGAAGAGGCCAGAATCATCACAAAGGCTCTGAGGGGAGTGGGATGCAAGCTAGATTTTCGGAGCAGGGTGGAGTGGAGAAGGCATTCCAGGGAGGCAGCAGGGGCAAAGACGTGGAGGGGAGCTAGACCCTCGTGGTTTATTTGACCGGGAGATTGGTCTGCTTAGCATCAAGCTGAGTAGGTGGCAAAAGAGTGATGTCAGGAGCATTAAGCTGGAGCAATATGAGAATAGGGAGCCATCGTAGGCTCTTGAGCAGGAGAGCTCTGCGAAGCAAGAGAAGCACTGCTTTGGGATAATGAATCTTGGAAGGTAAAAGTGACATCTGAGGGTGACATCCTGGGGAGAGACCTGGGTAGCCTGGAGCTGGGTGTGGGAGCTCACTCACAGCTCTTGGTGTATTTTTGTTTACTGTTCAGATTTTGTACTTTGTATATTTACAACCTACTTAATACTAATTTTTACATTTAAAGAGGCCACTATGGCCACAATGGGACTTCCTTAAACTCAATTATTAGTTACATATATGGCGGAGTGGGAAGGATTGGAAGAGTAGTGGGGGAGGGGACAAGCATAACCAGGAACAAAGGCCAAATTTTCACATTTCTGTGAGGACAGTGTCTGAAAGAGCTAGACCCACTTAGAATATGTCCAAGGACAGCCAAGCACATTTCAGCAAGCTGAGAGAAAAACGGGCATCATACCACACTTTTCAGCCAGACAGTTCAATGTCGACAATTTCCAGGAATGCTGGTCATCTCTATTTTTGTGTGAACGCCTGGAAGACAGGTCACAGAGTCACCCAAGCTAAAAAGGGAGCCAAGAGCCCTGTTTCTCTGGGAAGAAAGATCTGTAGTCTGTGGGGGTGTCTCAGCCTGAAGGGGAGCTAGAGAGGCAGGAGGAGCAACACTTGTGGGCATGGGTGAGGAGTGCGGCCACCCAGCCCTGCCCCTGCTCTGAGGAGTGCTGTGCCTGCCGGGACACGTTTGGGAAGCACCTCTCACTTCATTCCCCTCAAAAATTCACAGCACCCATTTTTGGGTTCTATTAGATTCTTTTTAAAATTTTTTTTTTATTTTTAAGATTTACTTATTTATTTGAAAGAGAGAACAAGCAGAAGGGAGAGGCAGAGGGAGAGAGAGAGGGAGAGGGAGAAGCAGGCTCCAAGCAGGGAGCCCGACAATGTGGGGCTTGATCCTAGGACTCCAGGACCGTGACCTGAGCCTAAGGCAGCCGCTTAAGTGACTGAGCCACCCAGGCACCTGTTAGATTCTTAATAGGAAAGCTCATAATCTGCTCCCTTTTCCCTAACCCCTGTGACCGCAGCGCTCACTCTTTATGATCTCTGGTCATCAATGGGGCACAGATATTTGGGGAGCCCTGGTGTGGTCTGGGCTGCACCCAGTGGGTCTGGCCTGACCTAGGAAGTATATGTGGTAGGGAAGGCGCGAGGCAAGAACAGGTAGCTGGGTGTGAAGGGGCGTGTCCAGGCTTTGCTGCCGCTTTGTGCCTGGACTCATTTTCTTCTGAGCCAACCCCAGACTGGTCCTGTCATCACTGCAGAGATGACTCATCAGGAAGAGAGGTTGAGGAAGAGCGGAAACCGTCTCCAGGAGCCACATGTGGCCAGGAGCAGATAACCCCCAGAAGGAGCGACAGCTCACATAACAGTGCTTAAGGTCTCAGCTTTATTCTTCGGAGGTTTCAGTGACGCTCAAAGACTGGGTCGGTTTGAGGAAACGGGACTGAATGTGAGTGCCTCGCACTGAAGGTGCTACTTCCAGTGGGCCTCCAGCTACTGTCCCAGGAGGGCTCAAGACCCATCTCCCTCCATCTCTGCGCCCCGGAGCCCTTGGCTTTGATGGCTTCATTGTAAAAGTTCTACTCCCAGTAGAATAGGAGGGTAACTTGGTCTGCATTTTACAAGTTACTAACAGAAAATCTTTTTTCTTATAGCCCCAGTTGACCGGTACTTCAAGATGATCAAATGTATAGTGACTAAGTTATTTAAATAATGGAATCAAAGGCCATCTGATTTGCCGTTCAAGTATTCTGTCATCTTCAAGGACATTTTGGAACTCTAATCTGAAGTGACTCTCCACTAGAAGAGTCTTTTTTTAGAAGAAATATCAACTATTAACCAGAACTAGTATCTACCCTATCCCTGCTCTGGTCTCCAACTAGATACTGTAAATGGTTTTTTGATTCTCAGTTTCTTACTGCCAATTTTCTATCAGATATACATGTGTAAATATGTAAATATATCCTAAATGGTAGGTGGTTTGGCTTTATTTTTTCCTCTTAGGTCAGAAAACTATTCTGAGTCATCTACCTCAGGAGGTGAAGGCTTTTTACTTAGATCCGTCCTCCGCTTCTCTTTTGTCTTAGAGGGAAAAGAATTCATTGCAGGGTGGGTAGTGGAGTGAGGAGGAGATGGACAAAACACGTTCCGTGTGCTGGGTCCGTGGCTCTTGACAGGACGCGAGAACACACGGGTCTTCTGTTTACTTCGCTAAGACCAGATTGCCGCCATCTACACACAGGGGGACTTGTCACATGAAGGTCTCTTAACGCACTCAGTGTCTGGTGTTAGCTGTCACACGGGCAGGGAAACAGCAGAGAACTCTTAAAAACTCTGAAGTCCTATACAAATGCAGAACAACAGCCTCTCCTGAATGAGGAAGCAGACGGCGCTGGCTATCCCTCGGGTCGCCATCATACATACCAACGTCCAAGGCCCTTAGCTCCTGAACCCACACTACCCCTGGAGCTCCTGTCACATGAGAGTCTTCAGCCTGAAAGAGGAAACACCGCTTTATCACACCAAGGCAAAGCATGCTGAAAGGAGCCCCATGAGACTGCTCTCTCTGGCCCCCTCACAGTTATCAGCAAGAATGAGGCGGGGGCCTGGGAGCCCCGAGTACTCTTGGGAAGAGCCCTACTTCCCCCTGCTCCTTCCACCTCTGGGCAGCAGAGCTTCCTATCAACGTGTGTGTCTGGCTCATCTTGTGAAACCCTTTTATTTCAGGCCCTGTGGGGAGCCTGGGACTCCCAGACCTTCCTTCACCTTCCAGACCTTCATCTCCAGACGCTCTGTAAGGCTGTTTCTGACCCCTTCATCAGCAGCAAGATTCCTAGGATTCTCTGCTATGAATGTTCCCTCCACCTTTCTGTTCTCACCGGAACCCGACTGTAGCTGCTGCTTCCCGATACCCTCTCAAGGGCCAGCTGCTTCCTCTCTTGGGCTCCTTGGACACTGGGCAAGAAGGAGGCCTGGCATCCTCTTGGCTCCTGTCTGCTTCCAGCCCATGCCTCCTTCCTCAGTTCCGATGGGCAAACCAGCAGATCACCACCACCAGACATTCCCTTTTCTAGCATCTTCGTTGTTCCTCAACCTGTGAAGATTTTAGCGCTAAGCCGAGATCACTCTCCTAATGCGCCTCCCTTCCGAATCTGTGCTTGCAGAACCCCAGATCCAGTGCCCTGGCATGGTCTGCCCTAAGTATCTTGTCCCCTGTCCCTTCCCAGCAGCCACTGCCCTGGTCTTATCCCTGACCTTCCACCAGCAATGCCTGCAGCCCCTCACAGTCCCTGTTACAGGTGTTCCTGCTCCTCTCTCCATCTTACACATCTTTCCCTGAGGGCCCTGCTCCACAGACCCCCACTGGCCTGCTGCTGCAGCGACCTCTTGTTCCCGAAGCCACGCTGGGTTTTCATGTTCATCGTGAGAGTGACTCCTCCACCTTTACTCTTTTACCCTCCCACTTGTCCTCATTTGGCCAGATCCTAACAAGGTGGGCAGAGTCACCTCTGCTGGTTCCCTCCCTGCACCCGAGCTGCCGAGCACCCCTTCAGGCAAGGACAGCCCTGGGCTGAGTAGGGTCATCTTGGACTGCAGACCCCCGGGGGGCTCGCACTGGTCTCAGATGGCCTTGCAGCATTGCCCAGGTCTGCTCACTCTCTCTTCCCTTCTTTTCCTAGACCTGTAGCCCTGTGTCCGCATGCTCTGCTGCTCGCCTCACTTCCTCTGTCACCGAAACAAAAGCATCCAGAAAAACGTCCCACCACGTGTCTGCACACCCCGCTCGCTGCATTGGCAGCCGTGTCTTTTGCTTCCCCTCCTGCGACTGTTTGAACACTCCTTGCTCCTTCTGAACCCAGTCTCCCCCACCTTGTCTTTGTCTGCTGGGGCCACCATAACAAAATACCAGTGACTTAAAAAACAATTTAGACTGGGCGACTTAAAAAACAAATTTATTTTCTCACGGCTCTAGAGGCTAGAAAGTCCAAGACCAAGGTGCCGGCTGGTTTGGTTCCCGGTGAGGGCACTCTTCCTTGTTTGCAGGTGGCTGCCTTCTTGCTGCGTCCTCTCATGGCTGGGAAAGAGCCCTGGTGTCCCTTCTCTTCTTCTGAGGGCACCAGCTCTATCAGAGCAGGTTTCCCCCTCCTGACCCTATGTAACCTTTGTCGCCTCCTCACTGTTCTGTCTCCAAATAGCGTCACCCGGGGTTTAGGGTCTCAATATGTGAGTCTTAGGACAAAATGTTCCTTCTATAACGCTGCTTCTGTGTGGGATCCCACCCGCCCTCATCTACTTAAGGAGATCACTCCTTGGCTGTCTCCCACATCATCAGCATTCACCTTTCTGCTACGCCACACAAACAGAATGTCATTTCCCATATCTTCAAAAAACCAAAATACCCTTGATTCACTTCCCCAACTGGCCCTTGTCTCAATTTTCCACTATCTTTAATGGAAAATTTTCTCAAAAGAAATGATCTGTACTTCCTTTTTTCTGACTCCTCCCCTCCTTTCTTGAACCTACTTCTATCAGGCTGTGGTCCCCACTGCTTGTCAAGGTTACCAGGGACGCCCCCCCACCCCTCCCACCTAGGATCTGGTGGGCAGCTCTCCAGCTTCATCTTGCCGTGTCTGTAAGCAACATTTGACTCCCACATAGTTAGTACTGTAGGTGCCCGGTTCTGTGGGGTATACGAGAGGAAAGCTTGTGATGTGATAGGGTAAACAGATCTGTGAGCACTTGGGGTGAGTGTACAAAGTCCTAAAATGGAAGCCTATACAAAGAACGAAGGAATTACAGCCATACGATCCAGCTGTTCTACTCCTTGGTATATACCCAAGAGAAATAAAAACATGTTAACACAAAAACTTGCGTATGAATGTTCATAGATCATTACTCATAATAGCCAAATAGTGAGAACAAGCCATATGTCCGTCCATGAGGAAAAGATAAATGTGGTCCATTCAGACAATGGGCTGGTAGCTGGTGTAGAGAGTAATGAGGATCTGAGGACGCCTGGGTGGCTCAGAAGGTTAAGCAAGTGTCCGACTCTTGGTTTCAGATCAGGTCATGAGTTCAAGCCCCAGGTTGGGCTCCCTGCTGGGTAAGGAGCCTACTTAAAAAAAAAAAAAAAAGTACCAGGGTCTGATACATGCTATACCAGGGGTGAGCCTTGAAAACGTGCTCAGGGAGAGAAGCCAATCCAAAGAGACAGTATGATTTCGTCCGTGCAAAATGTCCAGAATATGTACATCTCTAGAGCTAAAAAGTGGATTTCTAGTGGCCCAGGGCTGGAAGGAGGATGTAGGGTCAGGGGAAGGAGGGACTGCTAATGAGGGCATGGATTCTTTTTGGGGTGATGACAATGTTCTAATATTGTAGTAATTGTATAACTGTTGGACTAAAACCATCAAATTGTACACTTCAAATGAGTGGCTTGTGCTGTGTGTGAATTATGTCCTGATAAAGCCATTATTATAACAAAAAGAACTAAGCTATTAGTTCAAGGTGGGGGTCCCCCTCCCCAGATCCGGCCTTCCCCATCAGCTGGCTCAGCCCTGGCTCGGACCTGGAGGCCGATGGGAGATGTAGGCAACTTCCCTAATCTCAGGATCCCAACTACAATTTTCCCCACTCTGCCTGGGGCTGAAAATTACCAGAGGACAAAGTAAACTTCCTTTTGGAAGTCAGAGCCCAGAACAATCATCTAGCTTCAAACACCAGCCAGTGGGTCTATGAAAGTGTCACGAACCAGAGTTCGACTTAGAATCTTGAGACACGGGGGGCGCCTGGGTGGCTCAGTGGGTTAAGCCTCTGCCTTCGGCTCGGGTCATGATCCCAGGGTCCTGGGATTGAGTCCCGCATTGGGCTCTCTGCTCGGTGGGGAGCCTGCTTTCCCCCTCTCTCTCTCTGCCTGCCTCTCTGCCTACTTGTGATCTCTGTCAAATAAATAAAATCTTAAAAAAAAAAAAAAATCTTGAGACACAGGCACCTGGGTGGCTCAGTCAGTTAAGCGTCTGCCCTCGGCTCAGGTCATGATCTCAGTTTCCTGGGATGGAGCCCTGCATCAGGGCTTTTGCTCAGCGGGGAGTCAGCTTCTTCCCTTCTCCCCCTGCCCACAACCCACCCTGCTCATGCTTGCTCTCTATCTCAAATAAATAAATTAAATCTTAAAAAAAAAAAGAAAAAATCTTGAGACAGATCATTCCACTGTGTGTCTCCTCCCGGCCACCCTTAGTCATGTTATGCCCAGCAGCCATAGCCCCGCTCATCCATCTTCTCCCACACTCCCATTCCCAGGCCCACTCCTCCTTCTGGGGTGTCCCCCTGCAGAGCCAGTGGAACCTCCCTTCCACAGTCAGCACTGGACCCTCCACTCCCCACCCTCAGCCTCGTCTCTGCATCGCTGGTGCTCCTTCCTGAGGCCTCTGGCCCCACCAGAAGCCCTCCCCTAAGGGACAGGCAGGTGCATTTTCTCTCTGATTCATGCATGAGGAAAGCCACAGGCACTTGTCCAAGCTCAGCCGGTCACAAGTGAAAGAATCAGGGCTCTAATCCAGGCCAGGCACCCCCGAAGGACTCTTCCCCACCAAGCTATACTAAGAGAAGTTAGAGGCATGTGGTCACTCTTCCACGGATAGTTGGGAGACCTCTGAACCCTCAGTTTTACGCCCCCCACCCTCAACTAAAAGGTCAGATGTGTGTGTCCGTCAGCCTGAGGAAGCACAGCCCTGGCCACTGGGCCATGTAGTGAGAAGCCTGGCAGTGGCCCAGCAGCCCGCCAGGGCCCGTGTGGCTGGAGCAAGAGTGGCTGGGGATGGCAGAAGTGAGAGTGAAGTGAGCGGATGTGTGGGTTCCCTGGGCAGCCTATGTTAATATCTGACATCTGGGGAGTTTGAGTCCTTCCTCTCTCTCTAGCCTCTTCCTCTTCTTGATCTCTTTTCCTTCTTCAAGGTTTATTTTTCAAGAGTCTTT